TTTCAGATGTATGTATGTGATTTAAAACTAGGAGATTGCTTTTTATTGGGGGCGACAACTCAGATGTAAAAATAAAAAAGGAGCAGATGCACGGTTTAGAAAGTAACAGCTAAACATACCATAAATCACATTTAAGTCTAAAGGGGATGAAGGTAATGAAAGGTAAATGAAATGGTAGCCATCCATGCCTGTCTGACTCCCTTACTCGAAACTCCATACAGAGTCATAGAGGACAGCAGAAAATCAAGCTGTTTTTTTCCCCCCTTCCTTCCTTCCTTCCTTCCTTCCTTCCTTCCTTCCTTCCTTCCTTCCATCCCCTCTCCTCCCTGTTTCTTACAGAAAAAAGGATCAAAGTGCAAAACCAGCTCTGTTATGGGGTCACTGTTACCTTGCTGGGAACAGGAGGCTGGGGCCGTGCCTGCACGGTGGAGCCCCACATCAGCAACATCAATGGAAGGAATCCACTGCCTGAAAGGAAGGAGGCTGAGGATTTGGTGCTACAGCAGGAGGCAAGGCTTGTCTGGGTCAGCTGGACTTTGAGTGGGATGCAGGAGATGACCTGCTTTGCCATGGGGCAGGAGGGTGTGCAGAGGAGGGTGTGTGTGGGAAGAAAGGACAGGTGGAGCGGGGGTGTTACATGGCTTGGAAAACCAGAAAACATAGAGAAATGGAGGAAGGGGGTCACCTCAAGGAGAGATGAGAGGGGCTGACCATGGTAGATGGTTGGGTGTAGGGTCAGTTAGTCTTCATGGAAACTGCAGCAAAAGCAACCAGAACATGTGTGGTGCTACCTGGGACCTGCACACTGCTGGATGAGCCATGACTACACAGACGCCCCCATCATTTTCATTTGGGTTTTTACTTTATCTTTGTGCTCAGGAGCAAAGAAAACTAAACATGCTGCCAAGACCTACCACAGGAGTGTGGGGGCCAGGCAAGCTGTGGTGGGAGCAGTCTGGCCCAGGAGACCAGACGTTGGGCTGGCTATGGGAGCCCACTTGGGTTCCCCAGGCCTGCTGGTGGGCAGCAACCCTGCCTTGTGCTGGGGTGTGTGTGGACCTGTGTCTGGAGGAGGGTGGATGTGTCAGAGTCATGTCTGGGGGTCTGTGTGAGAGAGAAAGACATGCTGGTGTGTTTACATTTGTGGTGTGTTTGTGTGTGTGCGTGTGTGTACATGTAGAGTTGATCTTTTGCAGTGTGTGTACATATGTGTGTTGGGAGGGCAGGGGAGCAGAGACTGTGCAGAGCTTAAAGAAAATCAATTCAACTCTGATTTATTATGAAATATATAGTTCTGGTAGGGATGGAAGTAGAGGCTTTGCATTCCACACTAGAACCGTTACTACTGTGTAGTGCTACGCTGTTCAACCAGCTGGTTTGAACCTTCAAAAGCCACTAAGGTAGACCTGCAGACCACTCTGGAGCACGGGATGAAGGATGCCATGTCCTGTTCTCTGCTATGCACAGGCATGGTTTTGGTGAGCATTCCTGGCTCCTTCAGCTGGCTCTCAACCCTCCTTAGGTCTTTGGAGGTGGCAAGCAAAGTTGCAAGCAGCTCCAGGGCCTTTCTAGGGATATTTCCAGGCCCATTCCTGGCACCCATTTGAGGAAAATGTGTGCTGTTACATGGAGCACTGTTAGGACACAGACAACTCCAGCATTTTGTCATTTGTACAGTAGTGTATAACACTGGTGAGGTAACCACCTAGATTACAGGTGTGGGTGTGAACATGGAGCTAAATGACAAGCTCCTAGGAAGATGACATGAGGAATAAGTAGTGACAGAACAAGCTGGACCGTGATGATCATTGTGGTCATGGCCGATCACAGGGAAAGAGCTGGCAGGAATCCCCCAAGCTGCTGCTTGTGTAAGCACCCGTTAGCTGCTGAGACACTCGGGCTGGGACAGGCAGGGTCTGCCTTAGCCAGGCAGAAACACCACAGCTTTTGAGGGGAGAAAGCTGACGGTTCGACTCTTTCTTTGATTTTTGTTTAAGAATGAATGAAAGGTCTGATTTTTTTTGTCTGCCTGTTTATAAATCAGTGCAGAAGTTTAAGAACTGCTGTGCATAGGATCTGGCGGTTACAGCTACAGCGTTGCTCACCAGTGTTGTGTGTACACATTGTGTACACGTTCCTACACACCAATTACAGCTGGGTTGCAACAGGCTGTTGGGTACTCCCCGTACGGCATGCACATACACACGTTGTAATTTAGCTCTCAGAGGCTGCTCCCTGTGGTAAAATACCAGACTCTCCCACTGGTGGAGATTTCTTGGGACATTCAGCAATGGCACTATTACACACGCAGAGGCAGGCTGCCTGAACATCTTTGATGTGGAAGCCTTCGGTCCGGTGTTTCCTCAGAAGCTGTACCTTCAAGGCCTGTTTCAAAGGACAGTGAAATCAGTTGAAGGTTCCCCACTAATTTCCATGGCCAGGTTTTTTAATTGCTATAGATGCCAGGTGAAAGCCTGGCCGAGACCCAATCCCTTCAAGAGGGACAAGGCTTTGCATATGCATACTCGTGCCTGTGCATAGCAGAGAACAGGACATGGCATCCTTCATCCCATGCTCCAGAGTGGTCTGCAGGTCTACCTTAGTGGCTTGTGGAGGTTCAAACCAGCTGGTTGAACAGCGTAGCACTACACAGTAGTAACAGTTCTAGTGTGGAATGCAAAGCCTCTACTTCCATCCCTACCAGAACTATATATTTCAAAATAAATCAGAGTTGAGTTGATTTTCTTTAAGCTCTGCACAGTCCCTGCTCCCCTGCCCTCCCATCACAGGTATGTACGCACACTGCACAAGGTCAGGTGTGTGTGTACACACACACATCAACGCAAACACAGACTCAGCAACTTTCCACACTGCAGTTTATGCTGTAATTTCGCTCTGTGTTCACACCACCCCAGAAAACCAGCCGAGAACTCTCTCTGTGCCCTGTACAAACTTGTGCAAACCGGCAGAAGGGATCTATAAAGGGTCTGAGAGTGGGACTGTTTTGTGGTTGGACTCGATGATCTCTGAGGTCCCTTCCAACCACTACGATTCTGTGATTCTGTGACCCCATTTTTCAGCTTCTTTCTCCTTTTTCTTTATCCCCGTTGGCCACGGCGGCTCCACGGCGCAGCCGGCGGCCCCTCGCCCTCCCCCCTCATTCCCTTCCCCTTCTCCCCGCGTTTTCGGGGTCCCTGCCTTACCTAGGGCTCCTGCCGGGGGGATGCGGGTGGGGGACGCCGCCTGCTAGTGGGACGCGGACATGGACCAGGCGCCCTCCATTCACCGGAGGGCACGATTCCCCGCTGGTCCCCGCTCCGGCCGGCGGCGGCGGGCAGGGCTGCCAGGTGAGTCTCTCCCCCCGCCGGTAAAACCGGCAGCCCCAGTCCCTTCAGACCGGGTCACCCGTGTTTCACGGGGGGCGAGGGTGCTGCCCGCCCGCTCCCGCGTCTGTCTGCACCGACGGTGCCTCCCAAACCCGCCCTGTCTCAGCGAACGGCGGGGGGGTTTTCTCGCCCCCAGCGCACAGAGAGCCGCTACGGTGATTTTTATTTTAATTTCCAAGCTCGTCGTGGTGTGAGAAGGCGTAGCTGAGCCTCTCGTGGGCCACATAGCTGCAGCTTGCCATCTTGGAGTCCAGCTCGTCGCTCTGTAGGACCTGGTAGAGGAAGTCGATGTACCTGGCCGCCAGCTTGAGGGTCTGGATCTTGCTCAGCTTGTCCGAGGGCAGCGTGGGGATGATCTTCCGCAGGGCGGCGAAGGCTTCGTTCAGCGACTGCGTGCG